TCCTGCCAGGGCTGCAGGGAGAGGACTAGAGGGAATGGTCATAAACTGAGACAGGGGAGAGTCAGATTGGATGTGAGGAGAAATGTTTTCCCTGTTAGGGTGTTCAGGCACTGGAATAGGTTGCCCAGGGAGGTGGTGCAGTCACCATCCCTTTAAGTGTTTCAGAGGCATCTGGATCTGACACTGGAGGATCTGGTTTAGGGTTTAGTGGTTCCAGCAGTGACAGGTTAATGGTTGGACTTGATGATCTTAGAGATCTCCTCCAACCTTGATGGTTCTATGATTCTATTCTCTGGCACCACTAAAGCTGTTTCTGGGCTGGAACACTTTGCTGCTCTTCCAGCAGGCAGAGAGGTGTTGATACAAAGTGTTGCCATCAGAGTGGCAGCAATAGGCTCCTCTAGGCTCACTCAGTATTTCTCAGTTCTGGCCTTCTTGGATTTGCAGTCACCTCTTTTCCTTTCTGCTTGGGCAGAACAGGGCCCAGCTAACTTTCACAGGCTCCTGCATGCAGGGAGCTCCTACTTTGCATCAGACTCTATGCAGAGCTTTAATCAGTCACAGCTAGAAGTAAGGATATTTTGTCCATTTGAAAATGCAGGCTGAAGCTAAGCAGAGTGAAAAAACAGGATGGCTGCTTGTGGTATGAACCACGACTGACCTCCAGGCAGATTTTTCCATGACCAAGAGCCAATAGATCTGAATCACTTAGTCTATAACGTCAAGTGGGTGGGAGCTGTTTTATATCACAGATAGAGGAAAGAAGGAAATGTTTAAATGGTTTAAAGAAGCATTATGTTACTGAGTACTTTGGCAAAATTGCCAAATCTGGACATGCTCTGGAGGTTATCTGTGTCTAGGTAGTGTCATTACTTAAACTAGATTTAACTCTTTTCTCCTGTTTTTGTACATCCTATCACCTTTATTTAGACCAAGCCTTGAGCTGAGACAGGGGAGAGTCAGATTAGATGTTAGGAAAAAAGTTTTCCCTGTTAGGGTGGTCAGGCATGGAATAGATTGCCCAGGGAGGTGGTGGAGTCACCATCCCTGGAAGTGTTTCAGAGGTGTCTGGATCTGGCACTAGAGGATCTGGTTTAGGGTTTAGGGGTTCCAGCAGTGACAGGTTAATGTTTGGACTTGATGATCTTAGAGGTCTCCTCCAACCCTGCTGGTTCCATGATTCTATGATTCAGTCTAAAATTATAATGGAGATGTTTGAACACCACAGGTAAGGAGCATCAGAGGCTGACACTAAATACTTGAAACCAAAGCAAAAGCATTAATTTGTATACTTTGGACTGCCTTTTGTTTTCTCAGATATTCCAAAGGGCAGTTTTGTTTTGTGAACTGAACCTCTGATTTGTAAGACAAGATTACTCTTCCTCTGAAAAAAACCTCCATGAATTAGCAAAATATTCAGGAAATTGTGAACATTTCTTTTAGAATATTTCTGTATCATAAAGACTGAATTTCCAAACCTAAGAGACAACAGAAATACCTGGGAAAGGTCTCCAACCTCTATCTCCTTGAATTCTGCTCGTAGATATCTCTGAATTTTAGTGCTTCCCTTGTATCTACTCCAAGAATCTATTTTTTCCTTAATTCTTATAACCTTGGCTACAATATAGAAAGTCAAACACATGATGAAGTAAATTCTGTAGTAGTTCACAATTCTTCCAGCATAAAATGATCAAACAAAAATACAGGGACACTCAGAATGGCAGGTTAAATCAAGTGGTGCATATTACCCATTGCTGCTTGAAAGCTGCAAGATGATCAACCATTGGCAAAGTCAACAGAATGCTCTTTAAATATTTCATCATTTAATGTTATTAAAATAATCCCATATTTGCATACAGAATGTCATAGGTCATATTATTTACAAAACAGCTCCATGTCATACAAAATTGGTTTACATTCATTGTAGGAACTTCATAATTATCCTGGCTAAATAACAAGAAAGACATTCAACTATTTCCTAAACAGAGTTAAACTACCTGAATGTTTTTAATCTTTCACTCCTTGTTGTCCTTTACTGTCAGCTTTGATAAACTCCAGCCGAGGAAAGAGAAACTACCTTTGTTCCTGCCTTCCAACTGGTGAAATGTTTTGCCTTATAGCTGGTAAAAGATCAGCATTGATGTGAAACATTACTGCCCTTTAAATATGCATAAAATTCTGTTGTTTCCCTCACCAAAATGACCTGAACCTCAGTTACTCTGTTACTGAGCTTCCATACTTGGCCTCTCCAACTTTCTTTTGTTGTGATTTCAGGTTTGAGTATATTTATGATTAGGCTCATAGAGTTCATGAACTGCTGAAAACCAGAAGTATTTGACCCAAGTAGGTCTTGCACAGAATTTGTAATCTCTTTCAGCATCAGTTCTGGCAAGAATGGTGAAATGATATTTTTAGTGAACTCTATTTCTTCTCTTATTACCGAAGCTTCATTTTATGCAACCCCCTGAAGTTAACACACATTAAATCAATGGGCATCACTGAAGTAATACGACCAAAGTATTTCCAGTTTGAAAATTATCTTCTCTAAAAACAAGTTAGAAGCATATTTGCCACATAAGAATTATGGCATTAATGGTGGCAGGATTCTATTTCACCCACTTTTTGCACTTTCCTCACATAAGAATTATGGCCTTAATGGTGGCAGGACTCTATTTCACCCACTTTTTGCACTTTCCTGAAGGCATAAAGAACCTCCCATGTAAAAACAAGGCTGGTCAAAAACTTCAGGGAAACACTTGAGCTGATATTTTAGTCTAGAAAGTTTATGTAATAAGATAATAAACTAAATTCTTTTTCAAGAAACTCAGGATAAACAGAATACCACAAGTTCTCTCGGGAGCAAGCAAATGCTTCTAACTGCTATGGGAACTGGGCTAAGCACTTACCAAGTTGCTGAATGACCACAGAGCATGTCAATGTGGCACGTGTGACAGCATTTATCTGCTCCCCAATACCAGTGCAAAAGGGTATCACCTCTGTCTGAATGACAGGTTTGAAATAAGCAGCTATTGCAGGCATTAGCAGAACACATTAATTGCATGAGTGTGCTGATTTTCATTCACTCTCAGTACATTTAGAGCTTACACTAGTACTGGGTCACTTCCCTTAAGTTTAGCAATATACACTTGTACTCAAATGTTTTTACTGTTGCAGGCCAGGGAACAGCTCACAAGATCTACTAATGATAGCAGAATAGGGATGGGCTTCGTTGGGGAACTATTAGGGATCAGTATATGTTTCAGAACTAGTATTTGAAATGAAGATATACAGGCTTACAGACACCTACATGCAATCCTTATCCCACTATAAATCCGAATCAGTGCTCATCCCCCTGGACTTGGCATTGGTGAGGTCACACCTCAGTGCTGTGTTCAGTTTTGGGCCACTCACTGCAAAAAGGACATTGGAGCAAGTCCAGCCAAGGGCAACAAGGCTCAGAAAAGGC